AACTGCAACTCCCACAAGCCCACAGTCAGACCCACTCCACAGAAAATATCTGGTGAGGACGCGGGGCGGGAGTCAATTCAGGTTCTGTGGAGGAAGCTAGAAAGGAATGCATCATTAAGGATACAACAAACATTTCATTTTGCATTTTTAAGTGGCCTCATGAGGTAAAACACTCACCAGACCTTGTCATAGGGGCTCTCCAGGGTGGTGTCCCAAGTGCAGCTGTACATGTCGGCCCTCCATCGTGTGAACGTCAGGGTTGAGAAATGTGAAGGTTTGATCATTATTGGGATAATTTTTTTAAAAAAAAAGAATTCGGCTGAGTGACACCGCTCAGACACGCGGAACGCCATTTTTTTTGGTTTCGAGCTGACTTTAATATCAGGTGGGTAGAATGATTCACTAAGCAGGTAGGCTGTTTTTAACTCAGCTTCACATCTTTCCGTAGAGTAAGGATGCTCTCAGGGTCGTATGGGTCGAAGACAATTTAAAACTTTATCAGCATGTTATGCAAATCTTCAACGTGATAGAATGTTGAGGTTAATTTATTTTCATTGCCAAAGGACACCATGGATAATATTATGAATATAGGAATATTGAAAAGGAACACGCTAAACTGCACCCATTCATATTTAATGAATTACAAACAAACAATGTATAATCATCATGTATCATGTACTGTACATCCTGGCTTAAATATTACAAATGCCAGATGAAATTCAACTTAAAGCTGTCATTAGAAACGCAAACATGCTCTTAACAAAACACAAGATAAGCTATGGTTTTGTTTGTTTTTTGCTTTAAAAGATGGTGTGAAGCCTGTATTATTTATTTACCTGCATCTACTCTGCTTTTGGATGATATATGGCACCAAAAACGTATTTAATCATTGCCATGTGAAATACTGTATGTTTGATTCTGTCTATTTTGACACTTTGATATCTGTTTAAATGTGCTTTATATTCCTATATTATACATGGAAACTGTAAGTACATGCTACAGGATATCTGTTACTACTGCATTTATTTGAGTGAACTTGTAAAATAATGCATAATAACACTTTGTTTGCTCTTAAATAAATAAATCAGTAGAGATAAATGTTTACTGTGCAGTGGAGGATTATTACTCTTTATTATATATGAATAAATTCTAGTTGAATAAATAGAATAAAAATCAAGAGCAACTTCACCAGGTGGATAGTAAATATAAACTTATATACATATATAACACCTTTCTAGTCTTTGGACAACTCAAAGAGCTTTACACTATATGTCACATTCACCCACTCACATAGTGGATGATGAGGGCAGAGGCTGCCATGCAAGGTGCAAACTGATGGCACAGCATTACTTGTGGGTCTGCTTGTTACTTCTGCAGAATGCAGAAGTAGCAGTGTTTTTACATTAATACACTGCTACTTTTGATTAAATATAAAGGATCTGAGTACTTCCTCTAAACCTGGTACTACATAGAGAGATTGCATGCAAAGAGAAGGGAAGTACTGATGAGACGTGCAGTATTATGATCATGGAATCTAAATGAGACACTATTTCCACACCAACTTGGGGAAAAATACTGTTTATGAACCTGAAATTGAACTTCCTTGTTTATCAAACTCAGAATCAACTTTAACTAGTTTCTTTCCGTCATTTACATGACAACATGTCTCGGGCTCTCGTCTTCTTTACTCTCCTGTTAGCATTTTCAAGAGCAGGTAAGTAACATGAAAACAGAACTGAGCATTGTGTGTTTGTGTTGCTGTTCAAGTAGTCAAATATTCACTTGCTAGATTATGTGAGAAATGTAAGAATGTAAAACATAACTATAGAGACAGAAGAACTCCAGTTAACAGTTTTAGCTTTAGAGATATGTGAGAATATTAAATTAATATTAAAGACATTACAAATATGTATCCATATCAACTAATATCTGTTTTGATTATTTTGACAGATGCTCTCTACGGTCATGCTTTGGCTCGTTGTCAGTTCAGTTCACCTGATGGTCATGATGCTGTGTACCTGGAGCAGTACTACTTTAACAAGAGGCTGGTGGGCCTATACAACGGCACTTTGGGGAAAATTATTGGCTACACAAAGGAAACAATTAAAATGGCAGATACATTCAACAACAATCCAGCTTTTGCGCATTTGTGGAAACCAAAAACAGAACGTTGCAGAAGAATCTCCCCACTGGCTTATAATGCCCTTTTGAAATCAGGTAATTATCACAGTACATAACAGCTACAGATGCTTGACTGGGGGACGTAACACACAGCGCTATCGGCTCGTTTTATTTGAAATAGTCCTGCAAATATGAACATATTTCTCAACATCAAAATTTCATCTAAACATTTTTAATTTTTGCTTCAAAGGCAGCTTGTATAAAATGAGTAAAATAAGTGCTATTTTATGACAAAATGTTGTGTCTTGTGCTAACTTCCTCTAGTCGAGCCGTCTGTTTGGCTGAGGTCAGTTGAGGCAGTGGACAGCAGACATCCAGGCATGCTGGTCTGCAGTGCGTACGACTTTTATCCTCAACAGATCCGATTGACTTGGCTCAGGAACGGACAGGTGGAGACATCTGATGTGATGTACACTGATGAACTGCCCAATGGGAACTGGCTCTACCAGATTCACTCTTATCTGGAGTTTACACCCAGACCA